ACCAGTTCCAAAAAGGAAGCACAGTGGGTGGCGATCAAGTTTTTCTGATTGCTGTTGTTGTTTTTAAGATCAAGTAAAGTCAAGCAAGCATAGCATAGGATTGTTGTTGTTACAAGCCGTCAAGCTAACTTTAGTTTTGAGCTGAGGGAAGAAAGAATCTCAACAAAAGACATTTGTTCATCTGTTACTGTGGCACGAGGCACTTTCTTGCTTTCAGGAAGAATAAAATCAATCATGGAAACAGCTTTTAGGAAAGGATTGAACCAATACAGAGTGTAACAGGTCACTAATGATACAGTATACCCTACATAACTACTTCATTGTAAATGTCCATGGGCCCCATATTCTACTGAGTTGTATCTGAGTTTTCGAAATATGTTACTAAACCTCCCTCCCCGATGAAAAAGAATTAAGAAAGAAGCTCAAAAGGCAATCAAAGCTTACAAAGCACACAGGGGATTTTATGAAACCACGCAGAATAGCGAACCTTTCTGGCGACCCTTTGGTGACATCTCAACCATTTTCACTGTGTATATCTGATTCTTGCCATGTCGGCATCTTAGCCTCTTAAATATTTGGAGGCTCCTTAAATAGACAGACCAGGTAGTTCTTTTTCCCCTTCCCCTTTATTCTCCCTCCCTCCCTCTCCCTCTCTCTCTCTCTCTCTCTCTCAGTAGAATCTCTCTTAGAAAGTGCCCTTTTTGAAAAGAAAAAAGCTGTCTTTACTGGAACTCCAGCAAGTGTCATTTCCTTTTCTGTTACTTTGGCTAGCTTTTTAGGCTAAGTGACAATGCAGCTGCCGCAAGAAAAAAGTGGGTTATTCAGAGTACATCTTCAAAGAAAAAGACACGTTTAAAGGGAGCTGTTCAGTCAGGGGCAGCAAGCTTGTTATACAACAAAACACCCATTACAGGGATGATGGACGTGGCATGGAAAGAAGAGCCTTGCGGCCAAAGCCCTCCGTCCCCTGAGGTGGAGGGAGAGATGCATCCGAACAAACTATCTCTGGGATGCTGGATAGGAGCGAGTGGCTGAATATCTGAAGAGCATCTCATAGCCTTAGGGCGCAGTCCTTGGGAGAAACCGTTCTGCAGACTGGGCAGAGTGGAGAGCTGCCGGACCTTTTTCTCTTGAAACAAGTGGAGGATTGTGACTTCACTGTCATGTAATTGTAAACCTCCTGTTAGCTTTTGTCTCTATGCTTACTGGCTGCATTTCTGCTTTTCTTTTTAAACCATAAATAAAAATAGGGAAAAGAAAGTAATACATAATCAATATATATTCTCTTGTTGGGAAGAATCTGGAAGAATCTTTTCTTTTCTTTTTTCTCTATCCTACCTTACCTCACCTTTCTTTAATTTCTACACTTGCCTAACAGCTGAAGCTCCACATATACAATTCAAAGTGTTGATGATCACCTTTAAATTAAAGCCCTCATTCTGTATCATCCTGACCATTCTTTAAGATAAGATGAAGGTGCCTTTCCTATTGCCCCATCTAGAATGGAAGCATGGGATGAAGCGCAGGGCCTTCTTAGTAGCTGCACCAAGATCACAGAATGCCTTGCTGAAAGAGAGGCCCCTCGCTGTTTTCCACTGGTTGCTCAAGTCTACTTTATTTCGGGCCAGGGCTGTGGACCCTGTACATAAAAACTTCAATTCCAACCTCATCTCCTCCATTTATGTATGGTACCTTGAACTCCAACTCCTGTATTTATATATCAATATAGGAAATAAATATACACAGAAAATAATACTATTATTTATTTTCTACATTGATTTAAAGCACTCAACCTACACAAATACTGAGTCTTTAAAAATATGATGCTCTTGTAGGTACATTTTTATCAGAACCTCAGAACTACTAATTTTTGCGACACATGCTTTTTCACAATTATCATCTTCTATAATTCAGTGACACACATAATATTTCCCATCAGTTGTTACTATAAAGTGTTCAAAAACAGCTTTTTGGCCATTGTGAATTTTGTCTCGGTGCACCACTTTCACATATATATAAAATTAAAATATATCCTGAAAATATAACCTGAAAATAGGTTAATCAAATTATTACATGTGAAATAGGATATTTAACATGCTATTTATATTACAGTTTAAATTTATTAGGAGTCAGAATCGGCACATTTTTATGACTCCAACTCCAGTAACCCAAGGAATGCTTCCGACTCCAACTTCATGACTCCGACTCCATTCTGGCAACCTTTTTTCTTGCATGCGTCTAAGAATTCTTTGTGTTTCAGTTTTAATGGCTGACCTTGTCTCTTTTTTTCTTTATACTGTTGTTTTTACAAGCTTGTAATGTTTAAGGGCACCATCTACTGTAGCTGCGCGTGGCTGTCTAAACATGGAGAACGAAGGCATCCAACGGAAAGGAGTGGGACTGCTGGGGCAAGGACTGCGTCAGCGCTCCTCCTGCATTCTAGAACACCTAGATGGCTGATTTGGGCCACCGAACCATTCTGCACCTGCTCACAAGGAGGCGAGGCTTCGGTGCAAGGCTACATCATATCCTGGTAGAGCTTCCCTGCTTCCCTCCCCTCCCCCAGAATGCCCCAGAATTGGCTCTGGGGTTAGGCTGGTAGCTTCAGAGCCACAGCCAGTGCACGAAGAACCATACCAGCTGCAAGCATGGAAGGAAGGTGTTCTGAGGTTGGAATTTCAGCTCCACCCTCTGGACTTGTTTCCGAGATCAGAGCTGGAACTCCCAACTGTTCCTAAGATTGCCTAGAGAGCATCTCGCAGCCACGGGATTGTGTCCTAAATGCTGTAAGCATTTTGCATCAGAAGAACTGGATTCACATGTAGATTGGGTATGTCAGTAAATACATATAATGTTAATATTGTTCACTGTGCTTTTATTGATGCATTTTATTTGTAATCTGCCCAGATAAGACTACTGGGTAGATCAGAAGTATAATAAATACACAGACTATTTTGATGTTATGTGTAAGTCACCTCAGAAGGATTTGTACCAGGAAAACCAGGATATAAATAATTGAAAGATATCAACGCCATAAATGTTACTCAGATGTCAAGGAAAAGTGAATGGATATAAAGTAATGTGCACTTGACCTCCCTAAGCTAGATGTGAAGGACCAGGCAACCATTCAAATTTAGCTTTAATGCTTATACTTGGATCATATTTAACACTAACCAATGGCTTATTTACCCACTGTTAATCCATGGTTTGTTTTCCTACCCATTGTTTCTCTGTACAGACAGAACAAACCCTAATTTGGGTTCTCTATCCTTGAGCTGTTTGGTTCCCTCCCCTTTTCATGCCTTCAGTGTACCCCAAATGCCTTTGCTGTGCTCTGGGTGTGGGAATGTAGCTGAGAGGTTTCTTATTTTCTTTTTTAACACCACCAGACCTTCACTGCTGCCATGAAAAACAGAACTCATGGTTCTGTTCACACCTAGCAAATATGGTCTAACAAAGATAGAATTGACAACCCAACAGAAAACCACTTTCCCCCCACATGAATTGCATAGTTCATGAATTGCAACTATGGTTTGCTAGCATGACTGGGTTCATACATCACAACAACCCATGGGTTAAAGAAATGATAGGTTAGCATCATGTGTGAATCAGGTTGTACATTTGCAGGAAATAAAAAGTCTATTTCTTAATTAGAGAAGACTGATATGTGCAATTTATTGAAAAGTTCCAGTTCTTTTAAAATGCCCATGTTTATTACCAGGCCGAATAAAAAGTACTTACTTCCCCCCTTCTTCTTCTTCTTCCTCTTCTTCCTTTTACATTTTGACCATCTATTGAGCATAACCTCTATGCAGCAGTATGTAATAGTGTGGTGGTGGGTTTCACCTTGCCTAAATATGCATTTGATTGTATGTCTGCTCACCAAGTATTGCCTTAATTTCCTGTTCCAGTAGTCTGATGCATGACTCAAATGGGCAACTTCCACCCCTGCCTGTGGTTTAGCTGTCTTGGTGCTATTAAGCACTTTCAGTGAAGAGTTATTTTTTTTCTGCTTCTGCAAGTGACAATGAATAATACACTACAGAATATAAACAAAGATCGTTCCTGTCACCATGTAACTTGCACAACTTTTCTCACCCACTACTAATATTACATGAGTGAATGGCTCCTAATTTGTGGCAAAGCAAAACTGCCTTTTTGTGCATTGCTGCAAGCTTCACTTTACAATTCCACCTCTCCTTCTTCTCTTTAGTGGAGACATTTCTCTTGATGAGATGCAGAAAGGGTGGGATGTAGAGAACTTGGTTTCTGAGCTATTCTCTAGACATAGCATGCTGCAGAAAATAAAGGGACTCAGAGAGCTGGCATAGATGTGGTCGAACTATTTTCCACCTTGCTCAGCACTGTCTGCAGTAACTGGCAGTCTCTCTCCAAGGTCTCAGACAGGAATCTTGCCCAGTCCTACCTGAGAAAGCCAGGGATGAAATTTTGGACCTTCCACTTCCATAGTAAGTTCACAGGCAAATTATTTTACTGGATTTGGGTTCCATCCTTTGAGGCAACTTCCACTGTATTCTGGGACATGTGCTTGGACTCTGAGATCCTTGAGAGAAACAGAAATCTTACCCTAGAGCAGCATGCCTCTGGGTACCTGTTGCTGGAGGAAACAAGCAAGAGGATGGTGCTCTTCTGTTTTTCTCAAGTACCAGGTACTCCCAATAGGTGCCTGGTTGGTCACTGCTGGAACTCTGACCCAGTGGGGATTTTTGTCCTGTTCTCAGCTCTGAAAGTCACCATGCACACTGGCATGATTAACATATGGACAACTAAAATGGCTAATTTTTAAAAAATGAGAGCCAGCTAAGCTTTCCCAATATATCGCAATAGCTGTCCCTAACATGATATTCTCCAGCTGTCATGGGCTACAACTCCCATTAGCCCAAGGCAGCACAGCTGAGGTCAAAAACGTCTTTAGGACATCAGCCTGGGGAAGAGCAGAATAATACCCAAATGAACTGAAAAGATGTTCATTGCCTTACTTTTACTTCCTGTTGGTTTTTTCATAGATGCAGCTTGATCTTCAGAAATGGCAAGTCGCCTCAAGACATCAGCCAAAGCTGCTTTCAGTACTGTGATTTCATCTTCTTGCTGCTGTACTCTCAATTCAAGAGCTGAAAGGCGGTCTTGGACATCAGATGTACTTGCTGCAGAAATGCTATCATCTGTTTAAAAAAAATAAGAAATAGAAGTATGCTGAAGCATGTTTTAAACCTGTTTGACAAGATTTCAATACGAAAAAGGACATATTTATTTGTTACATTTATATCAATCATGCTATACAAAATACCCAGGAAGGTGTACAATCAAATCCATATCAGGAATAAAACACAAAAGTGGTCAGCAAAAATGCATGTAAAAACCAAAGAGTATATTGGTTTTTTGAAGCATTTTCCCCACTTCCAACAGACTGATTTTACACCCAAGCACCTTCCTTAATCAGATAGCTTCCAGAAGATTTTCACATAACTCTTATCATCCATAGCTATCATGGTCAAGAATGTTGGAAACTGTCATCTAGAAAACCTGTGCATGGATGGACCAGAATCTTCTGCTATGCCCCATCTTACATACATAACTCACCTACCAAGTAAAAGCTGCCATTCAATATTGATTTAAAGTAGCCTCCATAAGGTGGTGGTGGTATTACTGTGGTGGTTATGGGGGGCAGAGGGCTTATTACCTTGTTCTTACTTCAGAATATTGATTTTCCTGTTTTAAACCTGCTTCATGTAATAACCAGCTTCTGGTGAGTGACAATGCAAGGCAAATGAAAGACATCCCTGTTCTTTGTACTTATTTTTGTTTCCTGCAGTGCTCAGCTCCATTATTTGTCCTGCCTGTTTCCATGCCCAGAGTAGGTGACCAGTAAGGAGATGAAAGTTCTTTTTCCTTCCACTTCTCTGCCATTTGGATTAACATGGATTGACTGCCAATATCAGAGCACTCTTTCTCTGCTATGTTTCATATAATATGTTCTGATCTTTGCAAACCACCTAGAAATCACCTAGGCTGTCTAGTGATATAGAAATGAAATAAATAAATGAGATTAATACTGTTGCAACTTAAATATAGTTAAGGTATATATCAAGTGAAGCATGTTATTCATTTGGTCTTATGCCATGAACAAAACTAAAGCACCAGAACAAAATAAAATCTGAAGCCAGGATTTACAAACCAGTTTCCATGTGATTAGATAAGCAGCTAAAAACGATGAAGATGAACAATCATTAAGACAATCACATATTCAGGAAGAACCATAACAACAAAAATAGGCTCTGGAGAAGATGCTTGACAGTTATAAATCTGTTATGGATGGCTAATTATTTTTTGTGGCACTGACACACACACACACACACACACACACACACACACTGGCAAGAAGCTGCTCTAGATATCTGTCTTATTTTCTTGTGAATGTTATAGCACAATAGTGGATGAATCCTGTAATGAAATCAATCATCTTTGCAAATAACCTTAAGTTCAATGCAGCATCACCACTGTGGCCATCTAAGACCTTAGTAAGCATACAGTATGAAATAGACATTCAAACCTTAGTCTTGGAGTGTAAAGCAGGGCCCATGTATCTGCTGGTTCAGTTACTCTGTTTTCATTCAACTCGAGTTGACTTCGGTCCAAAAGAGAAGTCATAAAGTGCTTGCTTTAAGTGAAAATTCTCGATTTAATAGGAAAATTTAAAAAAAACCATATGCTGAGCTTGCTAAGATCCTATGGATATGCAGGTTCTGCCATACTGAGATCATCTCAATCAAATATGCCAAGCAAGAAAAACTTCCTATTTTTTAATTGGGAAATAGCATTTGAAGTAATTCCCATAACTACCTTCTTGATCTTCAGTCTTAACTACAGTTTTGACTCTTGCCTACATTCCCAGAGCATCCTACTCCTATTAGAAGTGGTCCTCCTTCATGAGTATATATTTTGAATGATACTAATGAGCAGCATAAAGACAACTTTAAAACTATTCTAATAATCCAATAGTCTAAAAATGGCTAGCCGCAGAACAGAGTACTCAAAAATCAGTCTCTAAAGTAAATCTACTACCACAAAACTAGTCAAAGTAGCATTCATTTCTTTTCTTAGAACTGATACTGGGATATGATTCATTCCACCCATCCATTACTGGCATTTACAAGATGTTTCACTGCAAGTATTATTTTAAAATTTGGCCATTATTAATCTACTCCGTAAACCTTTTCAGCAATTACATATATTGGTTGCCCAGCATCCACATCAGCAAATTAATAATTGTTTTGACTTGATTGAGTAGTAACTTAAAACCAGCCTATCTCAGATTTTCCAATGCAAAACTGAGAGGGAAATGGCGATCATGTGATTCTAGGATATTACAGTGGTACCTTGGCTCACGAACTTAATCCATTCCACGACTCTGGTTGTGACCCAAATTGGTTGTGACCTACGTCAAATTTCCCCATAAGGTTCAATGTAAATAAGGTTAATCCGTTCTGTAACTTTTTTTATCAGAAATTTTGAAACAAAGTGACAAAGAACAACAAAGTACTGTACAGTACAGTGGAGAACACTAACCTGTGGGGGGGGGGAGATTATTGTTTTGAGGGAGAGTCCCCCTCCATAAGGACATTGGGGAGATCTCTTTCAGGGGTTTCCTCTCTTTGTCTCTTAGCTACAGGGTCAATTTTGGTGAAAAATCTGTCTATAGTCACTTGTTTTTTCCTGCGCTGCATAACCCTCCGGAAATGAGAGACCACATTACGGTTCATCAGATTCAGCACTCTGTTTGTTGCATGTATGTTGGGGTGGTGCTTCTCAAAGAAACGCTGGCATGAGTGCGCTCCTGCAGGAAAGATGGGCGTAACCTCAGCCACCCGCTCCCAACCAGCATGATCGCGGCCATCTCCTCACCCCCCACCCCGAGTGGGGAGTTGGCCAGGATCGCAGTTGCGTTCATGCAGGGAAGACGTGCATGATCACAGGTGTGCTCCTGCGAGAAAGACGGGCACAGCACAGCACAGCCGTGATCACTCGTGTGTTCCCTGCACGAACGCGACTGCGATCATGGCCATCTCCCCACTCGCCGGGGGGGGGGGGGATGGCTGCGATCTTGGTTGCCACCCAAAGTGGAGTTTGTGACCCAAGTCAAAATTTTCATGAAATTTTTCTTTGTGACCCAAGGCGTCCGTGAGTGAAGGTACCACTGTAGTATCATCAGCAACTTTACTTCTATACTGTCCAATAGTTGATGCTCTCTGGGTAGTTTACAAGGGGATAAAGGGGATAAGTATCTAGAAATGAAAAAGTGCTATCAGTGTGTGCCACAAGCATGATACTATGGCATGAAATGGGTTCTTTGGGACTTACTCACAGAACCACAATGTGCAAGTTGTTGGTGATGATTCAGCAATTGAAACCACTACCACATGACGGTTGAACAGCAGCATTCAGTCTATCTCATGTTTTCAAAGCCCACAAAGCCAGGAAGCTTATGCTGATACCTTCACAGATGTGCTTTATGATCATTAATAATGTTGTGCAATGTCACAAATTACACTTGCTTACAATTTGCCCTCTATGCACTCATATTTTTCTTTGTCTTTCTGGTCCAAATCCAGCTGGGGAAAACAGCATACCTGGGGCCAGCAAAGAATCCCCACACTGTTGTGGCCCTGTATTATTTTATGAAGTATCTGAACCTTATTGTATTGTGAGAAGATCCTACTCTGAGTTCACCCGTGCCTGCTTTTCCTTATAAGAAAACACAATTTGTGGGGTTTATAAGGGTGGTGTCTCTTCTTTGTATGGTTTTTGGAGACCCACCTTAACTAAAGGGGTTTCCTCATACTTTTTTTTTTTTTTTAAGAATATGAACATTTTCTTTAGTGCAATCACAACTCTGTTGAAATGTAGTGGCCAGTTGGGGTCATCATGCAGACATCCGCCAAAGCTGATAATGGAAAAGCACGACATTTGGACGGTGAAACAGACCAGTCAAGAAGTTGAGGAATCCCTAAAGGTTATTAGCAAGAGGATGAATAAGCACCTGTTATGTCTAGGGATAGTCTAGGGAATTTGCCCTTCCAACTCCGATTCTATTTCAACAAGTGCTCCAGATGCACATTTGTAGCTTTCAAATATCTTTAAAGGGGACTTAAATAGCTTGCATACACATGTAAGTATCACACTGTTATGGACATTTCAGAACTGCTTAACATTTTGCATTTCATGTGCCAACCCCCACTCTCCTAGTGGCTTTGAGCAGCTGTACTCTTGGTGATAGAGATAAGATGCCTTTTTGTAAATGCAAGCAAAACCTGTAATGGTTGAGCTTTTAAAAGTAGCTAAATTAGTGGAACACTTTAGAAAATTGTTTAAAGTAACATCTGTTGCCCAGGCCAAATAACAGGCACTAAGCTCAGCCCCGCCCCCCAACCTATTATCCTCCAGCTGTGTTGGACTACAATGCCTATCATCACCAGCCACCAGGCATTCTGTCTGGGGATAATGGGACACAACTGCAGAATACCAGCTTAGAGAAGGATAACTCTGCTATTTGAGACTCATGCTCTGGGTAAACAGGATTAATTTGTCCTGGGTTTAACTCTCAAAAAGCCCTCAATATGCCAGATATTCTGTCCCATAAGAGCTAAGTGGCATCCCCTTCCTCAAACTAATACAGGAGGGTACTCAACAGCAAACCAACTGGAATATGGGCATGCCCTTAAAAAATGTGTTTTACAGAATCATTAGCTGCACACATTCAATGGAACATGAGAAAGGACCACAGATCTGTCTTCGGCTTTGTACCCCGAAGGCTTAAGGTTCAAATACTGACATTTCCAGTCAGATGCATCCCTGGAAGGAGGTAACAGCAAAACCTCTGCATGAAACTGCAAAGAACTGCCACAAATCAAGACAACAATACTGGGTTCAATGGACCAAGCAGCTTTCTATGTCTGACATCCATGTTCAGAGGAAGTTTGTTCTAAGCTAAGGATACTAAAGGCCTCAATTTGGCACTGGCTGCAATCTCACAAAAGTGTTGTTTTGTCAGTAATTTGTAACTAGATGCTGGGCTTGGTAGGCTTGTTCTGACTCAGTAAGTCAATTCTTAAGATAAATTAAGGATAGTAGCCTAATTTGGGTGTTAGGGTTACTCACATTCCAA